GTTTTCACAGCTGATATTGAGCTTCTCCAGCGGTTCTTTCCACATATGTAATCAATCTGATTCCTATGCATGCCATCAGGTGAAATCCAGGTATAGAACCTGCGTTTATGCCTCTTAAAAAATGTATTTGCTATTAATAAGTCATTGATTGTGCAAAATTCGATCACTGACAATATTGTACTTCAAGACAGATCTAGCAATGACTTTTTTAACTATGAAAGCAACTCCATTTTTCCTAGGGCTGCACAATTTGATGGGTGGAAGGACGGGTGAGTAACGAAAATGGGAAAGGTCTGACGTGAAAAACAGAGTATACAAACTCTGTAAGTAAAACTGTATAAAATACAAATTTTATTTTAAAAAACAAAAACTTACACATAGATCAAGAAGCAGTTGTTTAGGTAGAATGAGGTAACAACAATGTATGATCTCAAATTCAGGAACTGTGTGTCTCAGTGTTTTGCCATTTCCCCCCCATATGTGTGCTGAACAAGTAATTCTAGAAGCTCAATTATATGAAGAACGTGGATGAGGAACAAGAGGTATAAGGCAGATAATACAACCTCGCTTGCAGACAGTTAAGAGGATCTGAAGCATCTGCTGCATAAGATCAAAGACTATAGCTTCAATATGGATTATATCTCAGCATAATGAAAACAAAAATCATGCTAGATGGAGAAAAGAATGAAGTTGTCAACTGTTTCCTGTTTCTTGGATGCACAATCAACACCCACACTAACAGCAGTCAAGAAATCAAGAGGCGCGTGACATAGACAATCTCTGTTGTCAAGGACCTCTACAAAGGTTATCGATTTAAAAACTAGGTTGCACCTGGTCTAAACCATGGTCTTATCAACTGGTTTGTATGAATCTGAAAACTTGACATTGAATAAGGAAGACAGAGAAGAACCGATGCCTTTGAATTGTGCTGTTGGAGAAGAGTGCAGAACATTCCACAAACTGCCAAAAGGAAGACGAATCTATCTCGGAGGAGACGTGACCAAGTTGCTTCTTAGAGGCAAGGGTGGTGAAACTTCTCACATACTCTGGACATGCTGTCAGGAGGGGTTGGTTCCTGGAATTACGTTGGGAAAGGTCAGAGAAAGAAAGGAAGATGCTCAAAAAGATGGAACAACACAGTAAGTGTAACGGCAGGCTCAAGTGTGTCAGAGATGATGAGGACGGCACAGGACAGAACAAAGTTCAGATATGCTGTCACAGAGTTGTGAGCAGTTGTAGATAACTTGACAGCACCTAACAAAAGCAACAACTCTTCTATTTAAAAGTCCAATTCCCTGGCCCCCAGCACCCCAGAGCCTCCCTTACCTATTATGTCACAGTACACTTTTAAAAAGAATTTTTTATGCAGATTTCCCCCCATGTTTCCCTTCACTGATATTCTATTTCAGACAATCGTCCCCTCACACTGTGTTTTATAATATTAATTACTGTTGGATTATGCCCACCTTTACTCTGTCTTTTCAGGTCCCCACCAGATCTTTCCCATTTCCTTTACACCCTCCCTCCACCCACCAAATTGTGTGATTCAATACACTTTTGATCTTCTAACAACATATAATTCATTAATTATGTTTGTTTTTATTTCCCTCCCTTAGAGTAACACTTTCATAGGGACAGGGATCCTTTGCATTTTATGCACTGACATATCCCAAGAGTCTAGAACAGTGCATTTCGTCGTAAGTGATCAATACATAAGTGACAGACAAATGGAGAGACAGCAAAGCTAAACAGAACGCTAGGACCTCTCCCCGCATTCCATCACCCCGTGACAAGGTCCAGCACCCCCACCACGGTGTTTATGTTGCCATTCTCACTGGGGGTGACTTCTAGTCTCCAACATTCTAATATCATTGTGTTTCATGGAGAATAAGTTGATGAGGCCCATTTTTACATAAAAATCAAGCTAACCAAAAATATGAAACTATAGAAAAGTGCATAAATCTATGTTAAGTAGAAAGACTTCCTCATGGTCATAAGAGAGACATTTTAAATCCTGGTTACAGTCGCAACAAAAGGGCTCTTTTTAAATAATGTCGTAACCTGGTGCTTGGCAGTTAAAGACATCTGGAGCAAAAAAGCACTTTCCGGTCTCCTCAGCAATCAAGGCATAGTCCACCTGGCTGAGACCACTTATGTCTGACAGAAACAGGTTCCAGAGACCCTCTTCTTTAGCCATTTCCTGTCAAGGCAAGGAACAGGTCATACTTAGCATGATCTAAACAAAGTAGCTTATTTTCAGAAGACACTAGCATTTACAATGCTTTTTAAAATATAAACTATCTGATTCCTTAAAATTTAAAGCCAACTGATTAATTCACTCTCAGTCCAGTTTAACTGTATGGTTTTCCTCAGCTTTGGGCCTGTGTGGACACTGGTTACTTGGGCACTCCTCTTGACCACAGCCTCTCCTCAGTCTCCCGTGGTAGGGAATGACCACTCCACACGACACAACACGCACTGCTCTGTGTTGTTCTGGGCTTCCCCTTGACCTCAGTCTCCCACGGTTGGGGATGACCACCCCACACACCCTGCTCTGTGTTGTTCTGGGCCTCCCCTCGACCTCAATCTCCCACGGTTGGGGATCACCACCCCACACCACTCCACACACCCTACTCTGTGTCCTACTGGGCCTTCTGTTGGTAGCTGTTAACATGTGAAAACATGAAGTGTGGTTAATGACCTCGTAAGGCAAGCGTTCTGCCTTTTAGCCTCAACTTGGGAACAGCTGAGGGTAAGTGGTGTTGACTACAATTTTTCCTTTCGACAGCTGTAAGAGGTCTTACTCATCATTTCCATATAGAGAACGTGGATTTTCTTATTACAGATTCTATCTGTAAACTTACTGTAACAGAAGTGAGGCGTGTGTCTGGCTGACGCAGGACAGACTGGGGCTGCCCCACCCACATCCCCGGCGGCCGCAGCCGTCGTGGGAATGCCAGACAGGCATTCTCTCCCACGGAGCCTAAGGGACGGTGTGTTTAGCAGCAGAGTGCTTAATCCCCGTGCCACCAGGGGCTCCTGACTGACAGAATCGTCCTCCACACACACAACAAAACAGCAGAGTCAAATCTTAAAACATTCACACACAAATGTTCCCCCGGAAAGGCTTCCTATTATCTTACCCTGAGCTTATCAATCACTGCAGGCTTTTCCCACCTATCCATGGAGTGGTCATTTTGAGCATAGAACTCAATTACCTCCTGTAAGTAATAAAAGAAAAAGATAATCAGGTACAATTATACAGAGTAAATAATATCATAAACCACCAAAAAACAAAAGGAAGATTTTTAGGCGACGCAGCATCTTCAGACACAATCATGTCACTAATTTTTTTTTTTTAAAAAGACACAGACTCATATCTAATTCTGAAGGTTTGCTATTCACAAATTCTGCTGCTTCCATAGTCAGTAATGAGCTCTGGTGGCCTAGTCCTAAGGAGTTGTGCTGCCAACACAATGAAACGGGGTTTGAATCCACCAGCTCCTCCTTGTGAGAAAGATGGGCAGTCTCCTCCCGCTCAATCCACTACCTCTGTAAACCTGCTGGAGTAAGACACATAAACAATATAGAAAAACCTGCTGGAGTAAGACAGAGATGCATATATAATTCTACAGGTCTGTTATGAATAAATTATGCTGCCTCTGAATTAGACAATAGACTTCCAAAATCTTGTTGATTGCCATCGAGTCGAGTACAACTCATAGTGACCCTATGAACCCTCAGTTCAACTAAGCATGCTAGGAAAAATTTTATATAAAACAAATACATGTAGTAAAGAATAGCTGCAATGGAAGAAAATAAGGGAATTCATGGAAGGGCAGGAATTAAAAAAAGCTGAGTTTTACTGGGAGTGAGCAGTGAAGTGAGCTGTCTGAAGGGTGCAGGCTGATTCATAGTAGTTGAGGCCCCAGCTGACTTTTAATGGGCCTTATAGGGAAGCTCCAGTGGCCTCATGATAAGGAACTGTGCTGTCAACCCAAGGCACATGGTTTTAATCCACCAGTTGCTCCCTGGGAGAAGGACGAGTAATCTCCTGTGTGATTTATAACCTCTCAAAACCCACTGGAGGGTCATCTATGAGTCAGTTCTGACTCCATGGTATACTACAACAACAACAACCACCACCACAACATAGGGAGGGATCTGAGGATAAAACCAAATGTTATAAAAAGAGCCAGAGGGTGGACCAGAGATGCCACCCCTCACCCCCCCATCATAAAACAAGGGCAAAACTTAAAAAAAATAATAAAGGAAGGGGAAAACCTGCCATTTGGAGGTAGACTGGGGGTGGGGTATTCAGTGTTATATGTAGTTCTTGATTCTGGACGGGTTAGAAAATAAACTTTTCCTATTGTCAAGTTGATCTGCATGTTGCTAATTACTTAGGAGCTTAGATATCTGTATTCTTGCTTGTTTATCAGTGTTCTAATTAGTGCAATGCTTGTCTGTCAGTTTGCTGTACTCAGGGGTTGCTGTGATGCTGAAAGCTGTGTTTCAAATGCCAGAGAGGTCTTCCATGTTGGACAGGTTTTAGTGGAGCTTCAAGATTAAGACAAAGTAGAAAGAAGGATTAGCCATCAATAACAAAAATAACAGGCCTCTGAAAACCCTCTGAACAATAAAGGGACACAGATTATTCCATATTAGAGGGAGAGCTCAGATGGGCAGTCAATGAAAATGAGGAGAAGCAGCTACAAACATCCTTTAATAGTTGGAACATGGAGTGTATAAAATAGGAATGTTGAAAAACTGGAAGATGCGAAAAATTAAATGGAACACATGAATTTTGACATTCTAGGAATTAGTGAGATGAGATGGACTGGCTTTGGCCACTTTGAATCAGACAATCACATAGTATATTATACCAAGAATGAAAAACTGAGTAAGAATGGAGTTGCATTCATAGTTAAAAAGACAATTTAATGATAACCCAATTATAACATGGTCAAATAACATGGGAAGACTTTTCACAGAGGAAGCCATTCAGATGACATTCACAGACACATGAAGAAATGCTCAAAATCACTGGCTGTAAGAGAAATGCAAATCAAAACCACAAGGAGATACCATCTCACCCCAGCAGCAGTGGCAAAGTAATAAATGTTGGACAGGATGTAGAGAGGTGGGACCTTTCACACCCTGTTGATGGGATTGTAAAATGGTATATCTACTCTGGAAAGGAGTTTGGCATTTCTTCAAGAAGTTGAACACTCTGTAATGACGCAGCTATTTCACTGCTAGGAACATACCCCAAGGAAATTAAAACCGAGACACAAGTGGAGATTTGTACACCAGTGTTTATAGCATTATTCATCATCAAAAGAACATGTAAACAGCCCAAATGTCCAACCACAACTGAATGAATCAAGAAACTGTGGTACATTCACACACTAGAATCCTATGCAGCACTCAGGAGCAATATTTTAAAAAAATTGATTCAGTGACTGGGGTAATCAGGATGGGAGTGTCAGAGACAGTGCAATTGGCACAGGACAGAGCAGAGTTTAGGGCTGTTGTACATAGGGTCTCTATGAGTCGCAAGCGACTCGACGGCACATAACAACAACTATATAACTGGGGAGATACTGAAGAATATTATGCTGAGTAATCTAAATCTCCTAAGGACAAATACTGCAAAAAAAAAATTATTGTAAAAATAGAAGGCTAACTAGTAAACCATGTACGGGGACCCAAGAAGTAAAGTGGTGGGAGCAGAGGGGTGAAGATGCGTAGGGGTGAAATCACAAGGTTGCACAATTTTGTGGGTGAAGGGAGGGGGTAAAAGAAATTAGAAAGATCTGGTGGGGAACCGAAAAGATAATGATGGGCACAGTGCAAAGGTGATTAATTTTATAAAACATAATGCATAGGAATGACTGTATGAAACACAATGTGAGTGAAGAATCTTGTGAAACACAATGTATATGAACTTTGCAAGCAAACCAACATAAAATAAAAATTTGGTAAAAAAATTTTTTTTAAAAAAGGAGATAATTTCAAGTTCTCTCTTGAAGTACAAAGTTGTGAGTGACAGGATAGTACCCATATGCACACAAGAAAGACATATTAATACAACTATTATTCAAATATATGCTCCTACAGCTAAAGCCAACAGGAGAAAACTGAAGATTTTTATACCGTTTTGCAGTCTGAAATTGACCAAGCATGCAATCAAGATGTATTCATGATAGTTGGTGACTGGAATGCAGAACTAGGGAACAATAACAAAGGAAGAGGAGTTCCGAGTACAGATGTGGTGACAGAAACGAGGCTGGAAACAGAGTGATCCAAGTTTGACATTTATTCATCGCAAATATCTTTTCTAAAAAAACACAAATGCTGACTTTACCGAGAGACCTCACCAGATGGATTGCACAGGCATCACACTGACCACATCTGGGGAAGAAGTTCAGATCAGCGATCAAAACAAGACCAGGTGCTGACTGTAGAATAGACTGACAATTATTCATGTGCAAGTTCAAATTGAAGCTGAAGCAAATTAAAACAAGTTCACAAGAATCAAAATATAATCTTGAGTCTATTCCATCAGAATTTAAAAGTAATCTTAAAACTAAGTTTGAAGCATTGAACATCAATAAATGAAGACCAGATGAGTTCTGGGATGAGATCAAGGATATCACCCATGAAGAAAAGGTCACTAAAAAAGACAGAGGAGAAAGAAAAAACCAGAATGGATGTCCTAAGAGAACTGAAAATTGCATGAGAGCATCAAAAAGCCAAAACAAAGGGAAGAGGTACTGAAAAAGAGCTGAATAGAAGATTTCAAAAGGCAGCTCAGGAAAACACAGCAAACTACTATAACGAAATGTGCAGGTACCTAGAATTAGAGAATTAAAAGGGAGAACTTGATTGGCATTTCTCAAGCTAAAAGGACTGAAAGACAAATTCAAGCCTCGTTTTGCAATACTTAGGGATGCTATGGGCAAAATCTTGAATAATCTAGGAGGCATTAAAAGAAGATAGAGGGAATACACAGAGTCATTGTACCAAAAAGAATTGGCTGACACTGAGATATTTCAAGAAGTACACACGAGCAAGAGCCAGTGATGATAATGAATGAAGAAATTCAAGCTGCACTGAAGACACTGGCAAAAAAATAAGGCCCCAGGAATAGACGGTATATCATCTGAAATACTTTAAATGACAGATGTAGCCTTGGATGTGATCACCAGTCAATGCCAAGAAATTTGAAGGACAGCTACCTAGCCGACTGACTGGAGGAGATCCATATTTGTTCCCATTCCCAAAAAAAGTGATTAAACAGAATGTGGAATTGTTGAACAATATAATTAACATCATATGCAAGCAAAATACTGTTGAGGATCATTCAAAACTGGCTAGAATACAGAACACAAAGAACAGCCAGACGTTCAGACAGGATTTTGAAGAGGCTTGAACCGGGGTGGCAGCAGGAATATCACTGCTGTTGTCAGATGGATCCTGGATGAAAGCAGAGGATGCCAGGATTTCACTTGTGAAACTATGCAAAGGCATTTATCTGTGTGGATCATAACAGATTTTGGCCAACATTGAGAAGAATTAGAATTCCAGAACACCTAATTGTGCTCATTTGAAACCTATACCTAGGCCAAGAGTCTGGTATGGGAAAATTGCAAGGGAACACTGCATGGTTTAAGATGAGGAAAAGGGCATCAGGTTGTATCCTTTCTCCATACCTATTTAAATCTATATGCTGAGTAAATTGATTTGAAAATCTGGACTCTATGAAGAAAAATGTGGAATCAGGATTGGAGGAAGACTCATCAATAAATGTAGATGAAACAACTTTGCTTGCTAAAAGTTAAGAGGACTTAAAGCACTTGCCGCAGAAGGTTAGACACTGCAACTTTCTATATGGTTTGCATCTCTACGTCAAGAAAACAAAAGTTCTTGCTATTGGATCAACAGGAAACATCATGATTGATGGAGAAATTATTAAGACTGTCAATTACCTTATCTTATTCGGCTCCACAATCAATGTACTTGGTACCAGCAGTTAGGAGAGATCAGTAGATGTATTGCACTGGAAAAGTCTGTGGTCAAGGTCCTCTACAAATTATTGAGTAGTAATGATGTCAGTTTGAAGACTAAGGTCCACCTGATTCAGGCTATGTTCTCTTCAGTCACTTGCTATGCATCTAAGAGCTGGACAATGAATGAGGATGACAGAAGAATAGAT